AGATTCCCATGGTTCGCGTTAAGCGAGAGATCGTTGGATTATGGAAGACGCTTTCAGGAAGGTGGAGAGGATGAAAGGGACGGCTAGGAAAAGAATAGAGGGGAGGTTCTAGCTCTAAAATCGTGATCGTTCGTCTTATTTTGAAAAGTTACTCTCTTCGGGAAATCGATCTTATTCTTTTCTAAATGCCACATCCTCCATTCGTCGATTTTTCTTTCTTTCCTTTCCTCTTTCTTTCTTTCTTTCTTTTTTCTTTCTATCTTACTTCTTTTCTTTCTTCCTTTCAGAAAGAAATTTAAATATGTTTGCCAAGAACACTGTACTCGAACGATTCGCGATGAGCGATGGTGACGAACGAAAGTCGCTAGAAATTAATTGCGAAAAATCGATCGTAGGTGCGAGCTCGGCGATATTTCATGCGACTGCCGGCATTCAATTAAAATCAAACCGTTTGGGAAATGGGAAAAGAGTCGGTGCGCTACCAACGCAGAATGCTGCCGCGCTTCGACGAGGAGAGATTCCGAATTTGAATATCTGATTGGACGAAGCGAAATTCAATTAAGCGGGGCCGCCATTGAAAGGAGATCAACGTGGTAGAGTAGAGAACGCGGACGCGAACGCGAACGAAAAGTTCATTTCGCGTCGGGCACACCTCACCGATTTGGAAATATTATATTTAATATTGAATCTATAATAATCCCTTATCTCTGACGTTATTGCAAGGTGTAAATACAAAGGGGCGATTTTATCGATTACGTACATGCGTACGTTCAAAATAATAATCCAGGTTATGGTTATACTCCTTCTATTCTTCATTATATAATAATAATTTCAATGTATACACTGTTTGTATGTTTGTGTGTGTGTGTGTGTGTGTATGTGTACGTGAGTGCGTGGACGTGCGTGTGGGTGTGGGTGCGAGTGGGTTGTATATATAAGTATATACATATTTATATAAATATAAATTCGTTGAAATGGCGAGCATAGCGAGTGGTATTTGACCTGAATTATTTTCGACTCGCTCGAAGGGTCGACTTTCAAATGAATTTGTAATTCGTGGAATTACGTGGACCCACCTCTCCCCGCTGCTCCACGGTGCTTCTAATTATTTTATTCCACGTGAGCGTCCACTTCGGCGAATTCTCCCTATGCGCTTACCTTCGTCCTTTCTCTCTCTCTCTCTCTCTCTCTAGAAGTGTACATAATTTTCGGGATTTTCTCGGTGTTCCCGCGTGGAAATTATCCGTGGGATGGAGGTAGTATAGGCGGGACAGGGACAGGGATGAGAACGGGGACAGGGACGAAGGCAGTGTACCGGGGAAACGTATTCCAAGCTCGAAAAGTCGTCGGTTCTGTTGGTGACGTGTCAGTAATACTACTAACATTATACCCAACATAGGTATCTGGTACTCTCCTAGTGTGTAAAACGCTCGAAAGTTGCTATCTTTCACCCTCTTTCTCTCTCTCTCTACCTCATTGTTGCTGTTGTTGTTATTATTATTATTATTGTTGTTGTCGTTATTGTCGTTGTTGTTTTCGTTGTTGACGTTAGCGTTGCAAGCGAAGCGATAAATGCAATGATTCCGAGAATATTTTATTGTGAGTGCTATGTACCTGGGGAGCGTGTTACACCGATAACAGATTTTATTACCTACGTAACGTACCTCGAATAGTCCAGAAGGCGAATCGAGAGGAAAGTAAAATAATCGTTTATATAATAACGCCTTGATTTAAGATCTCTGAGTCACGTGCATTTACGAACGATAAACGGAAAGAGAGACAGACAGAAAGAGAGGGAGAGAGAGAGAGAGAGAGAGAGACAGAGAGGGTTGGTATTTAATATACCGAATTTCAAAGAAAAGAGGCAATATCCGTGCTCCCTTTCGAGAGGAAAGACGAATAGAAAGAGAGAGAGACAGAGACAGAGAATGAGAGAGAGAGGGAGAGAAATTGTGAAAAGAGAAGAAGGATACGTAGTAGGGTCCCAATAAAAATGCAAATTTTTTCGGGAATCTACCAGCTATCTACAATGAAAGAACCAGATGGCACACGATACTCCTATCGTTTCGCTTGTATTTACGTATCTACTCGTCAAATGGAAAGGTAGATCGAAAAAGAGAAAAACAGAATAGTGGGAGGACAGAATGAAGTTTTGTGTGCATGTCAGTATGAGTGCGTGCGTGCCTGCGTATATATGGGTATGCGTGTACGTTTGTATGTGAATGAAAGAGAAAGAGAGAGAGAGAGAGAGAGAGAGAGAGAGAGAAAGAGAGAGATAGAGAGAAAGGAAGACAAGGATTTATGTGTTTGCGCACGACGATGCTTTCGTGTTATGTCACTCGCAAAACTTGCCGATTACCGGTGCATTCTTTAACGTATCTGTAAGTTCTCTCTCTCTCTCTCTTTATATATATTTATATGTGTGTGTACGCGCGCGCGCGTGTGTATATATATATACTAAAAAAGCTTCGAAAAGGATGAAGTCTACTTTTCGTAAAATGCTGCTTCGAGGCATCCATCAAGCGTATATAAAGTTCATTCGAATTTTAGGATATATATATATATGTATATTTTACTTATATGTAAAATAGGTAGACAAGCTTGGGCATCGATCAATGTACAATATATATTTCTCAAGTCGGCATACTTTTTCACCTAAAACGATAAGGTTACTACGTTTTTCGTTGAAAGAGCGATCATAATATTTTTCCTTTTGCGAATCGTTCATTCATCAAGAGTATGAAAGAGAGTGAGTGAATGAGTGAGAAAGAAAGAGAAGACTAGAATAGATATCTCTCCTTCTTTTTCTTCTACTTTTTTTGTTTTCTTTTTTCCTTTTTATGTTTTGATTTTTGTTTTTACACATAGTGTACCGTATCGTGGTTACGTTTGTTGATATATACGGAAGAATAATCAAAGATATCAGTGATTCATTCTTTTCATACTCCGTCGAACTTCGAGACGCAGTGGTGTTTCTTCGAAAGAACGTAAAGAGAGCTCGCAGAGATTCGCATTTTTAGAGATTCGAGAACGTCTTCGTATTTCGAAATAGAAGAAGTAGCAGAAGAAGAAGAAGAAGAAGAAGAAGAAGAAGAAGAAGAAGTAGAAGAAAAAAAAGAAAAAGAGACATAGAAAGAAGATGAAGAAGAAGTAGAAGAAGGTACGTTATACATACATTGCTTGCGAGAGGAAGACGTTTCTCTGCCGACAATTTTGCACGCTGTGTTTACATTGGAGAAATGTTTACTTTGTTAATGTAGAAGTGCAGCTTCGTTTTCGAGGAGGTCGTTCTTTTTCGTGCTTCTCGTCTCTTCTTAGGTGAAGCGTGAAGAGTAAAAGAGTAGACAAAGAAGTCCGAGGAAGAAGAAGAAGAAGAAGAAGAAGAAGAAGAAGAAGAAGAAGAAGAAGAAGAAAAAGAAAGGACGAAGAAGGAAGTACGAAGAATGAAGTAGGAAGAATGAAGGACGAAGATGAAATAGTAGTAGTAGTAGTAATAATAGTAGTGTAGTAATAGGAGTAGTGGTAGTAGTGATAGTAGTGGTAGAATAGTAGTAGTAAAAGTAAAAAAGGTACTGACAGAGTTTCTTGAGATGGTAGAAGAGAATATACGCGGGCAGCAGGGAAAAAGGAAGCGAACGAAGAGATTCTGGATATCCAAGGAATTTGCTGATACGTTCGTGAACCGCTTCGATTTATATGCTAAAAGACGGATCGTCGAAAAATCGTCGAAGAAAGAGACGAAATGCTTTCCTTTTCTCTCCACGCTTTTTTTCTTTCCTTCTTTCTTTCTTTCTTTCTTTCTTTCTTCCTTTCTTCCTTTCTTTTTCTTCTTTTTCTTTATCTCTCTTTCTTTTTTTTCTATATTTTTTTTCTTTTTCTTTTTCTTTTTTCCCTTTTTTTATGCATCGACAAAATCGATATTTTATATTATTTCGTAGTCGTCCAAAAAGAGAAAGAGAGAATCTCATCCTACAGGACAAAATTATTTTCATTTTTTCATGACCGTAACTCGCGAGAATTTAATAATGAAATCTTTCGATTATTGCATGGTTTACGTAGGTTATAATATAATGTCGGTGTTTTATTAGATATTGTCATCTAATCGTTTTTTCTCCCTGTTTATTACGAATCTAACAAGTATGATTCGTAAATGTGTACTACGTATGTACCTTTACAAGCACGGATATCTATTCATTCGTACACACAGGCACAAACACTGTGTGTGAGAAAGAGAGAGGGAGAGAGAACACGCATACATGTAGGTACGCAGTATATTTAATAACAAGATTTACGTTCTCGCGATACAATAAGGCAATTTTCTTATGGATCATTTTTCGATCGTTCCGAGTTAATACGAGGGGCTATTAAACCAGAGGATTTACGATATATAACGCGTGAACGAACGATTTTTCATCTACCACGGAAAATAATCTTGTCTCGATGGAAAGAGAATGAGAGAGAATGAGAGCAGTGTATATATCGTCGTGTTTATGTCGCCGATTGAATTTTATCCGTTTTTCCAGGAAAGAAAGAACTTTTATCCTTCTCCTTCTTACGCAATTTCTCAGGTGTTGCTTCGAATAACTCGACAGCGATCGATAACCAACGACGTTGTCCTTTCTTCGTTTTTCTTCTTATGAGGATTTCGTTATAGAAATATCCACTCGTTTTCTTTTCTCGTTTCTCAACGTTGATTCGTTCATAACGTGTTCTCTCGTCTTCCCGACAATATATATATATATATATATATATATATATATATATATATATATATATATATATATATATGACTATATAGAAAAGAATAAAAAATAAATAAAAAGTAATATAGATTATAAATCAAAACTTGCCTGTTTAGAAAATAAGTCTAAAATTCGAGACGATTTTAATCCTCTCTCTCTTCTTTTTTTTTTCTTTTATTTTTATTATCCTTTTTTTGACCCTCCTACCCTATTTCATTATGCATATCCATTTCCAAATGGAATTTATGCGACTTTCAGAATTCTTCGCTTTAAGGAAAAGATACATTGGTAAGAGTTTTAGAAAGAAGAATTTTACCGTTCCAGGATCCACTTATATTATATCTAATAATGCGAATAGAAATATATTCAAGGTGGACGCTTAATCCAAGGTATAAGTTTATAGGCATTACGTAACTCGTATTTTCGCTCGTAGACCTTGGTGTGTACCGACTTCTTCGTCTATTTCAGGATCAAAAGACCGTGAAGGCAACGAACGAATGTTCTATCCACCTCGGTGTATTTCTCTCGCATGCTTGCGGATAGATAATGACCACGAGCAAACATGGAAAAATAAGTAGGAGAACTGAGCGTGATAAATGTGTATGTGTGTCTATATGTCTATAGTTATATCCATTCATACATACACTACATACATTCATACATACATACTTGTATACGTTAAATAACAAGCGATTAGGTAAAAAAAAAGAAAAAAAAAAGCAAAATAAAGAAATAAAGAAAAAGAAAAAGCAATTATTCCTTGGATATTTTTTTTTCTTATCTTGGGTTATTGGTATATAACTTCATCGTATAGTACCTAAGTACTTGTAATTTATAATAATTTTACTAATGATTAAATATCCAATATCTCTTGTCTTAATCGTAAAGATACGTAATTATAGATTAAACGTTACATCGGGTGATCATATCATCTTCGTTTGCATCGATTAGGTCACTGAAATTATTCGTAATAATGCGATTCGTGTATCGAACGAATCGCGATAGCGTTAGGGAAGATTATTTTTGTCAAATTTTTTTTTTTCTTTTTCTTTTATGAATTTATCGTAAGCGTTTGACAATCATGAATCGTATTTTCTTTCGATAATCAAGAAAGAAAAAAAAAATTTCGAAAGAGAGTACGTAGTAACAATTTATATTGATAAGTAATGTCGACATATTGTCGATAATAAATATTAAGTATATTTACATTTAAACATAAAATGTTGAAAATTCCGACGTTACTTATTCCGGCGAAACTCATATTATATTTTATGAGAGAGATACCAAAGTACCACGTATAACGTTAGTTTGTTTTGGTACGTGGTGGAACGATCGAATTATGATCAAAAGGCAAACAACAATTTCGTGGTGGGCCAACATGGGCGTTGTTCCTCCTAGACGATGCGTTCCAACGCCGCGGGAATGCGGAATGATGATCGCAATAACGGTAACGATGTTAACGATAGTAACGCGTGAAAATTAATATTACGATGGTGTAGGTGAGATCGTATCTAATAGAAAACCGTAGAACCTAACAAATGTTCACGAATAAGCGATGTTCAGTAATTAGTTGTGTGAAGCGTTTAGATAATAATGCATTTTAATTAACATCTTAGATCGTATATTAGATAGGATGACATGACACTTATTTTTAAGATATCTTTAAAACTGCATATCAATGAAGGATAATTATTATTCGGTAAGAAATTAGAACGAAATTCTTCAGGTGGAAATTCTCCAGTGATTTTTTTTTCTTTCTTCTTCTTCTTCTTCTTCTTCTTCTTCTTCTTCTTCTTCTTCTTCTTCTTCTTTGTTTTTACATAAATATTAATGATAACACGGAAATATTTGCGAAGATACTTCTCGCATAGTAAACTTATCGAAAATATAAAACAACGATGAATGTATGAATATTCGTGATTATAATTATGATTCTCAATATACAAAAGTAATGACCGTAAAACGAAAAAGAAAAAAAAAAGTAGAAGAAACAAAAAAATGAAACAAACGAAAAATGATAACATTAGAAAGAAAAAGAAAAAAGAAAACGACAAGTATTAATTAATTAAACAAATTATTCTTTAACTAGAAATAATTTATCGTTCCATAAATAGTTTATCTTAATAATTTGACGTGATATAACGATAATCGGTTCAAAAGAAAATAATAATAATAACATGAAAATATTTAACATTAAAAGAAAAAATACCAAAAAAGAACTAGTTGATAATGGTATGCTTAGGGAAAAGTAAAGTGTCTAAGTTCGCGTGATCTTTGTAACAGACATTATACTTTCTAAGGTATAATAAAATTTATTATTACGAAGAAGCGATAGCCGATGAAAACATTTTTTTAATTTCGTTCACGAGTTATATATATATATATATATATATATATATATATATATATATACCAGTCTTGATTTAACAGAAATTGAGTTTGTTCGATGTGTTCAGTGTGGTCGTTTCCGACTTTGGCATGGCAGGCTCTCGTTTTAACGAGCGATTTCTTCATCCGCGAATGACTTTATTCGCTCAGCATAGCCCGTGTTGCAATCTTGCTTGTTGTCTTGGAGTCGGTGCCGTTAATCGGACAAAGAGTACCGATCTTACCGGTCGCTGCGTTCCCATAATTGGCGAATAAGAACAGATGGAGTGTCCTGTTGATCGTAGTTACGAACTGCTCGTTCATTTTCTCTTGAAGGGATCGTAGATCGTTTTAAAACTCGACTTTTTCTCCTTTAAATTCGACGCTGGAAAATTTATTTAAATAGGAAAGTCAAAGTAAATAGAAATAAGAAAAAATTGCTTTTTCTGTAATGTTTGACAAATAAAAGTAATAATTATTAAATATTTGTAAAATATCTAAAGTTCTCGTATATTTGCAAATCTTTTTAAAATCTTTTTAGAATAGAATGAAACCTGCCGCCATATTGTTATACTTATTCCGCGTGTCGACTAATTCGTGTTCTTAAGGATTAATTAAAGACCCGTGCTTAATTAAAGGGAAATAAACTTTATTTACAGCAAAATAATCATTTTTATCGCTTTTTTTTTATCACTCATAGATATCATTCCAACGATAATTACGGTCAAAAGGGTTAATTGGTAAAGGGTTAATAAAAAAAAAGAAGAAGAAAAAAAAAGAAATTACAACATTCCTCTAGACATGCACTACTTAACCCAAAGGAATGTATTTCAATTGCGATAAAATTTACTTAACTAACAACGGTCATTTTATGATTAATTAGATGCTGATTTCAAAATCCAATTCTGCCATTCGTTCTGTCAATTTCCTAATTTTTCAATTGATAATCCTCACTAACTCTATTAATATCTATTATAAAATTTTATCTGTTATTTTCTATCCTAGGAGAGCTTTATCTCGCATCTATTTTGATCCATTGATTAATCGGCCTTTTTGCGGAAATTGCGAGACGACAAATGGGGAAAAGTGAATCACACGGAAATGAGTTAGTCGTAAGCGTGGGTTGAGACCGAGGTCACGGGTGAAACGAATATTTCTAGAGGACCAACCTTGATGACGAGTAGGAGAACAGCTCTGAGGGTAATTTTTATCAATGTTTACGAGAGTTTTCATGAAATAGAAAGAGAAAGAAGAGAGAGAGCCAGAGAGAGAGAGAGAGAAGTATATACACTGATGTAGATATATTTAAATGGTTTTGGAAGAAAACCCGAGGAAATGATAAAACGCGTTGCAAATACTCGTCGGATTAATTTCGCGAATGTCGCCAATCGCGTTCCTGCGCATGACGGAAACTCGTTAGCGAATCGTCCTTCCGCAGTCTCTGTAATTAGTTCTCTTACTCTCTAAATGATTTGTCGAGGAAGCTCCTTCCTTCCTTCCTTCCTTCCTTCCTTCCTTCCTTCCTTCCTTCCTTCCCTCTCTCCTTCCTTTTCGGATAGATAGAGTTCTTAAGAGACGAATAATCGTCATTGAATTTAACGAGGAAAAATTTAATTTCTGTTTTCTTTTCTTTTCTTTTTTGAAAGAGAGAGAGAGAGAGAGAGAGAGAGAGAGAGAGAGAGAGAGAGAGAGAGAGAGAGAGAGAGATAAACGAAACAAAAGTGTACGTATATAACGAAATATAATTTAATTGCCGACGTGGCATTCTGTTTATTTCGAGTATGCAGATATCATATCATTGATGTCGATTCAATGTCCCATTGTTTATTCTCTTTCGAAATATTTCATATAACGAATCATCAAAGAACAGTGGTTCTTAGAAACGTTAGAGAAAACTCCTTTCCTTTCTTCCTGTATATATAGAGATATAAACGAATGCAATATTAGCCATTCAAATTTAATAAGACGAATTTATTTAATTTTTATTTGAATTTTATTTGAAAAAAAAAGAACAAAAGAAAAGAAAGAAAAGAAATTATACAATTGAAATGATAATTTGTCTTATCTCAAACAACTTTTACATATTATTCCTAAAAATGAATATGTTATTTCATACAAATTGCATAAATATTTCCATTTTTAAATGGATATATATATATATATATATATATATATATATATATATATATATTGTTAAATAAATCAAATCGAGTTGGTTTCTGACAATCAACGTTAGAAATGTTATCGCGAGACATATCGCATCATTCTTAACCGTTCATTTTCAGTATCACGAAGAGAAGAACCTAACTGTAATTGATTTGACGTTTAGAACGGTGAACGCCGAGCGTTTTAACAAAAGGCTCGATTTCATGGCGAGATAGAGCAAGTAATACACACTGTGAAAACAGTTTGTCAAGCATCAGATGCTATCGTAATCATTGTTGCGAGTATCGCGTTTCGCGAGCATCCTTCATCCCGGCAGATCTTGTGTCTGACATTACAGCCATTGTGTCGTCGTACGTTGGAAGACCGAAGAGACTCCGTCGCTCGAGTTATCGCGTTTTATATACATACCGTGCTATACTATTTCGCGTACCTTCACATATATTTTACGCCGAGGAAGCAGAAAATAAAAGGGAAAAGAATAAAAAAAAAAAAAAAAAAAAAAAAGAAAAAAAAATAAAGAAAAAATAAAACGAACTTGAATGGACATCGATGACCAAGCGAATCTTTCTTTTTTTTTCTTCGACTATTCGTTTTCACATACCTAAACTTTTTTTCTATCTTTTTTTTCCTCTTCCTCTCTCTCTCTCTCTCTCTCTCTCTCTCTCTCTCTCTCTCTCTCTTTCCCCTTTTTTTTTTCTCATGGAACAGATTAGCATATCCACGAGTTTGACGATGGATACTCTGATTGTTTGATTACAAGATGATGAATCTTTTGAAAAACGAGGATATATGACTGTAATAGGAACGAAAAGAAAAAAAAAAGGATGTCGTAAATTTAATGCAATGCATGTACACGATGATGACCAAAAAAAAGATTATTTTCATTCATTATTATTTATTATCAAAAAATTTTATTCATTCTAAATTTGAATCTGATAGTGAGTAATTGTAAGAAAAAGAGAAAAAAAAATAAAGAAAAAAAAAGAGAAAGAAGAAAATAAAAAAAGATAAATAAAAAGAACAAAACGAAAGAAAACATGACTAGTAAGTAAAGATGAGTTAAGCAATCAGCTTCGAGCGTATGGTCCGACTAGAGGAAGATTATCGCGATAGGCGTTACGTAATAAGTCGTCGTACATTGAGAAGGGGTCAAAAGCCGTACTTCTCTTCTTCGACATAATAAGAACCGCGTCACGAGCGGTCAGGACGAATACGGCTAGCGGCGCGACACAACTGTAGAAGCGTATTTGCTCTGGATGCTTTAATGGAGAAGTCAGTGGTAGAGTTATGCGTTGGCCGTAGATAGTCAAAGAGAAAGAGAAAGAGAGAGAGAGACAGATATATATATATATATATATATATATATATATATCACGAATGTACTCGGAGTGAGATCTATTCATAGAGAAAGAGAAAGGGTGAGAGAGAGAGAGGAGCAACCACGCGGCGTCAATGAGACACAACATCGGCAGCAGCAATCGTGTGAGGCTTAAAGGCAAAGCCTTCTCCTCCACCATCCTCCTCTCTGTCTCGTTCCCTCCCACGTCAAAGGCGCGTCTCGAATCATCGTTGATAGTTAACGCGATCTAACGGGTGTTCTCTGTTGGTACGTTAAATCGAGGATTAGCTTAGAAACGAAACGTTCTCTGATCTTCCGATCACTCATTATCCATTACGAAATACATATCTACGAACTTTGTAGTAGTTGGTCTGTTATATCGACCTAATCGCTGTCGTGTCGCGGTATATCGAAGTAGGATTTTCATCTAATCTGATAATGTCGATGCGACACTATCGTGTTGATTTTGCCGTTTGCCTTCGAAGTAATTTCTAACGATTACAACTAAAAAATATTGTTTATAGGGAGGGAGAGAGAGAGAGAGAGAGAGAGAGAAAAGAGAGAGAGAGAGAGAGAGAGAGAGAGAGAGAGAGAGAGAGAAAGCGTTCTTAATCCGATCTCGTTCTAGGATCATTACAAGCCAGTCGTTATATATTTTTTTTTACTGTCGTTCGAATATATGTATTTTTAATTTTTTTTTTTATTTTTCTTCTTTAATCCTTAGTATATCTCGATGTATCGAGTCGACATCGAAGCCAACGTCGCTTTAAATCTCCTGAGAGGGTATCCGATCGAGTAATTTTTTTAACAGCGTTCTCCGAAAGTAATTCGTGAGAAACAAAAATAACCGAAACGCTCGATTACTAAATCTCGTGACCGTATCGATCCTTTACGTACTCACAATTTCTCTCTCTCTCTCTCTCTCTTTTTTTTCTTTTTTTTTCCCCGTTTGTTACGCACAACGGGCACGAAATCGTGTCGAGACCTACACCGTGAAAAAGTGGACCAATAGAGTAGTAAGGCGGATCGAAAGCATCGCGTCATGTGAACGAGCTTTGACTAGCGAGGCCTTACTCGACAACGAGACTGCCTACTCCGCCACCCCCTCAGCATCCTACACTGCCTACTACTTCTGTGTTCTCGTAATTATTTTCTCTTTTTTGATATATATATATATATATAAATTTTTTTTCTTTTAATTTTTCTCTCCCTCTTTATTTTCCTTTCCTTTTGTTTTTAACGAGCCGCCGGCTGTTGGAGTCAGTACGTGTGGAAGCGAGAAATGAATGAAAAAGGACTGGCAAAGCCTAGTACGAGAAATGGAAGGCGAGAAGAAAGAAAGAGAGAGAGAGAGAGAGAGAGAGAGAAAAAGATAAAGAGAAAGAGAAACAGAAGAAGAGAGTGAAATTCGACGAGTAAGGAGTGAAGAGGATTGAGGATGTACGTGCAAGTTTTTAATGCCTTTTACTATTTTTCTTTCTTTCTCCCTCTCTCCCCCTCCCTTCCTCCTCTCTATCTCTCCCATCTTTTTTCTTCATCTTTCTGTCGCAGCAGGACACGCAACAACCGACGCTTTTTTCCTCGATAATTCTGGCGCCTTGTCTCGAGGCCATGTCACTGACTGTGGGAAATTGCAATGACGAAATTTAAACGGGCGAAACGATGAAGAGCGAACGGTGATGATGTTACGTTCATGTTCGAGAGAGAAATTTAAGAGAGAGAGAGAGAGAGAGAGAGAGAGAGAGAGGGAGAGAAATATAGTACGAATGAACGTGGCAGCTGCGTTACGAGTAGGTCAGTTTTGTGATCGTGCATATATCGAATAACGAAATCGGTTAACATAAATCCGATCGAAGTTGAATTTGTCGATTGTTGTCTCGATTGATTTAAACTAGATAGATGAAAAATTATATAACAATTTTTGTTTTACGATTAAATAGAGGGATAAAATCTATCTGTGTGTGTGTGTGCGTGTGTGTCTGTCAACGTACGTGCATCGAAAAAAACATGGATGTTTTAAAAAATGGAATATTTCGAAAATTTTAACGCGAAAATTCTTTCTGTCTTTGCTGTAAATATATAGTACGTTCAATATAGAATGTTTGATAACGAATTCTTGATCGTATTTTGCTTTGTGTCACGTTGTTTCAAATATATGTTCCATCTATATATCTATACATAAATATATATATATATATATATATATATATATATATATATATATATATTATACATATAGGCAAACGCGTACGATAGCCTTGATATCGTGTCGTAGAATCAGGCTGTGTATTCGCGCGTGCAAAGAACGTCGAATCTTTCCATTCTGACGTGTTTTCGATACGTCAGGTAAATCGAAACGCGACGATTTCCACAGCCCGTGCAACTTTAAATGTTAATTCAAGACTTTTCGGAGCATAAAGATAAACCAGGTTTCATGATTAAAGCTTCATTGGTATTTAAATATTCCGAGTGGTCCGGCGTATTGATAAAACTTCGATGTAAATTATTGATTCGTATACATATATATATATATATATATATATGATGTATGTATGGATGTATGTACGTATATACATTTGTATATATGTGTATATGTATTTATACGGTAATTAAATTACACATGAGAAAGCTTTCCGTTGATATTAATTTAATTATATCGATGATAGGAAACATCGGCGGATCATGCAATTTCATGTAATTTGCTTCGCTCGTATCAAGCATGAAATTGATCGATATAAATTCCCGGAAATTCATCGAAAATAATTGAAGATAAAAGTCCATTTATATATTATAATCAATGATAAAAGTTCGTTCCGATAATTTTCAAAGATTAAAAAAAAAAAGAAAATGACGATTTAAAAATTTTATAATTTTTTTACTTACAAATTATGATCTTTATTGAATTTATTTATTGCGAATTATTTGAAGTGTTACAAGCGTTGATTAATTCCTCAGTCGTATTGTATTATTTCGAGATACTTTCGAGATATCTTATATAATTCTAGAAATAAAAAATATCTTTTTATTCTTATCGATATTGAAAAATTTTATTCCATGAGAATAGAAATATTTGTAATATATTTTTTTTTTCTACATTCTCAAAGCGTATGCACAAGTGAAAAGGATAGATTTTATGAATTCTTGTAAAAAATATTCTTAAGAACAGTGATATCATTCTTGTATTGGAATTCTTGGCAACGAAAAATATAGTCTGTAGAAAAGATTCTCATGTATCTTTAAATGCACATAGATTTATAGAACAGTTCGAAAAGTCTCATACTCTTTTATTTTGATTATGTAAATGGAATTTTATATCCATGAATAGAGCTGAAAGTAAATTATACGATGTGTACATATATAAAATCTGTAATATTTGCTATATACACTTTCAAAACGAGAAAAAGAAAAAATAAACTCGCTAAAATTAATTTCTTTTCTTCTTCTTCCTCTTTTTTTCTTTTTCTTTTTTTTACGCGTAACCATTTGATTAACGAAAATCCAATTAAATTAAATGCTCGAATTCTAATGAATCAATCTCTGTCAAAAATCTTTCGATCGTATATTCTATGGTTGCAAATGATCTATGAAGGAAATTTCAACGCTTCGAAAATTTTTTGGATAATCTGGATGAAATAAAAAAGGAAAGAAAGAGGAGAAAAGAAAAAAAAATTTTAAGTACGAACCACCTTCAAATAATTCCAAAATTATTTGAATATCTTTTTTCATTTTCTTTTTTTTTTTTTTTTATATTAGTAACACGGAAAAGAAAAAGAAAGAGAGAAAAACAGAAGCAGAAAAATCCATGCTACTTATCGCATCTCTGAAGAAACTCAAAAAGTGATCTTTCTACTTTTACCATCTCTCGTCGAAGTTAAGGATCATCACTTACGAAATAAAAACAAAAAGAAAATAAACACGGTCGAAGAAAAAAAAGAAAGGAAGAAGTAACAGCGTGAAGAAAGTGTAAAAAAGCAAAAAAAAAAAAAAAAAGAAATTCGATGAGCTCGCCAAGTATTTCTTTTTTTTTTCTTTTTTGTTCTTGCTATTTCCTTTTTTCTTTTTTAAAGATCTGTCAAATTTAATAGCTCGTTCGTCTCAGAGAAAAAGAGAGAGAGAGAGTCAGGACGACGATGGTGCATCCGCGCGCGCTTTATTTTTAAATCCTCTTGTATGACGGTGCCACGAAGCCGCTCGCGGAATCGTTGATAGGTCCGTTTTGTTCGTCCGACAAAAAAAAAAAAGAAAAGAAGTTTGGTTAAAAAAAGGAAAGCAAACGAACGAAATACGTGCGATTTTATCATTTGACGCTCATGCATATTCATCGAAGGACAACGCGCGTTTAACCTTTCTCTCTCTCTCTCTCACACACACACACACACACTTTCTCTCTCTCTCTCTCTCTCTTCGTCTTTTTTCATAGGAATACCACGTGTCGGTATTCCGTATATACGAATCGTGATACGAACGGCCGGCTCCACGACGCGCCCGCAACTGGTGGCATTAATTCCTTCTCCCCTCCCCCTTCCACCCTTCCTCCATCCATCCCTTTCCACCCTTTTTGTCTCTCTCTTTCTCTCTCTTTCTCTCTTTCACTCTCTCTCTTTCTCTCTCTCTTTCTCTCTCTATCTATCCCTCCGTCCTCTGCTACCCTCTCGACGCCCTATCGTTTTCGTCCGATTCCCGCGGAGGTTATCCTCGAAATGTTTTACCCCTCGAAAAAAAGTAGACAAACGAAAAGGAATAAAAACGGGAGAAAACGATCCATGGACGCTCGTTACGACGAGCTGTTCAGGAGATGGCGGCAATTACGAAAGCGATGACGCGTACACGTTCGTTCGTCGCTTATAAAAGTACATACATACATACATACATACATATATATATATATATATATATATATATATATACACGTACGTACAGAGGCAAGTATATCACATAGTTGTGTACGTACGTACATATTTATTTATATATGCTAATGTTAATATATATATATGTATATCTATATTTGCATGTATTTATATTACTTCAATTTCATGTTCTCTCGTCTAGCCATCATATTCATTCGATTTATTAGATATTTTACCTGTTAAATATTTCACTCTTATTATATTACTATAATTTACTATTATAAAAAATAATATTTATCCCCTGAGTATTATATAAGAATTCTTTCGCGTGAAATGAATTGCGTTTCAAAAAAAAAAAAAAAGAGAAAGAAAGAAAGAAAGAAAGAAATAGAAAAAAAATTGCGAATGATCTATCCTTATAACACTTTATGTCATCATTAGCAAAAGTCTTTCGTTAATATTATCGAAAGTTTATTTTTAAACGATATTTAAAATGCGTGTGAATAATAATTTAATTTATCAATGATTAATTATTATTTTGTTCAAAACGTGAGATGCGTACCAATACGATTTCTTTTAGAATTTCGCAATGTTCGAATCGTAAATGTCAATTCACAATGGTAAGAGAATAAATAGGTGGAGCGGTAAAAGCGAGGGACGTTATTTTTATTTAGCGTTTCTCATGTTTATCTGTGGTGGTACCTTTTGGTAAAGTCGACGAAGTGAGTGCCACGTCAATTACGAATTCGTATCTCGCCCGACGGCCGTTTCAGGAAGCGAAGGATTCTCCGCACGTTGTCCGCTAGCCTGTTATTTCGGGACTCCCGAAAGTGACTTCCACTTTGGAGGGTACCTCTGCATTTCAATAAGACCTTTCTGCATCGGCGAAAGTTCCGCTTACCGTTGTACAGAAAAAAAAAGAAAAAGAAGAAAAAGGAGAAAAAGAAAAAGAGAGAGAGAAAGAAGAAAAGTTCGAACGAAGACTTACGTTTCAAATATAATTCCTTGATTTTTTCTTTCGTTCTTTATCGCATAGTAAAATCTTTCTCTTTATATCGAGATTATACGTATCAAGTCTTACTTTAACTTTTTATATTTATGCATACTGATAAATCTCTGATAACACGTACAAATGTGTCGTAACAAAACAATGTATATTATTATTATTATTATTTGATGTATATTTTTAGATGTATATGATCGTACATATTACAAATTTATCATTCCTTTTTAACGAAAATAAAAAAAAGGACTATTCGTCTTTTAAAAATTGGTTTCATGTTAAAGATATATTAACGTATGGAAATAATTTATCTCTAATTTGTTTTCTTCTTTTTTCTTTTCTTTTTTTTCCCCCTCTTTTTTGTAATATCTTCATTCAAAATAATAAAACAATAATGAAAATAATCAGATAAAATTTTCATGTAAATATACGTATGCCTGTATCTACTTATGAATTCTATTTCTTTTTTTTTTTTTTTTCTTTTTTCCTTTTGTGTTGACTCATTAGTTCCTCGATTTGTATTGGTAGAAAGAAAGTAGTGTCAATATCGTTTTCGTGCCACGTGTCATCCCAAACTGATTGCAAGAGACAAGACGTAACGCGAAGATTTTCGGTTTGTTTATCGAATGAATGTGAATGCAAATGTATGCGTGTGAGTGAGTAACTGAGTGAATGTATGAGTAAGGTAGCTTTTGTGAGGAACGGTCAAGAAGCCAGTGGAGTTCTGAAACGTAGAGAGTGACTCATGGTGTGAATGTTAAACAGCTAATGTCCCCGCTAGTGAAAATACTGTATTCTCATAGCATTATATGTAAATATATTATTTTCTTTTAACACAATATAACTTTGACATTATAATAAATTCATTAAAATAATAGATTTTTTTTTATTCCTTTGTTTTGTTTTTTCTTTTATTTTTCTTCTTTTAATTATCGAAATCATAATTATTAGAATAATATTAGCTGAAATATGTTTTTGTTTACTTATTACTAGAACATTAAATAAATTAAACAAATAATAATAAATTATATTTTAACATATTTTTTATTAATATATTTGGTATATAAATAATACTAAATATATCATAAATATATATCATAAATATAAATCATATTTATTATATATTAATTATTTTATATATATACATATAAAGAGAAAGAGAGAGAAAATGAGAGAATGAGAGTATATTTCCTTGT